AAAAAAAAAAAAAAAATTAAGAGAAAAAACAAAGTAACAAGTAAATCTTATAAAATCTTTTGTAAATGTACTTTACAATATAATGTTTCATGTTAATAGATACTTATATTTTCATGCATACTATATTTGTATTTGCTATCTGCGTAAATTATTAATTTCATAAATTTTTCTTAAGATAAATATAATCTTTTATTTGTTTATAACCTATGAATATAAAAAAGTCTTTTCAAAAATATATTTATAATATATATAAAGCCATTCATATACATATACACATATATGTATATATTTGTAGAAGATATAATGTTGATTTTAACAAATGTACATTGATTCTTTCTTTTGTAATAACTATACTTTTAGGTAACACTTGGTATTTTACTATCTGAATGGACAATAAGGTGGATGTCTCAGAAGTAGAAAATATTTCAATGATTGGATCGTCTGAAATTTTTTATCTGCCTGAAGTTGCAGAGATATCAGAGGTGTTAGATTCTACTGGTCTTAGCCCTTTGACATCTTCTTTAGATCATACTCTAACTCTCCAGGAGGATAAACTGCTTTCATCAGAAGTTAATATGGGCATAGAAGATACATGGTAGATACATTAGCATTGTGTGTACACATTATAGTTATATATACCAAATCATGTTAATTTAATTCAACATTCTTGCTGTAGGACTGAAGCAAATAGTTCTACATCAGATTATGCTATTCCACTTCCACCACCACCAGGTTTAAATGATTTCACAGATGTTGGTGCAGATCCTATTGGAGATAGCGGAACTGGTATAGAGTATGGTCCATTTTTACCTCCCGGTACTCCAGCTCTAAATAATTTGTTTTCAGAAGGTGGAGATTCTCAAGATGATTCTCCAATGGGTGTGTACAAATATTTGTATATTTCTGTAATTTAGCTTCATTCTGAATTTATTTATTTATTATTATTAAGTTTACAATTAAACAATATTTTTTAATGAACAGTATGTATTTATGTTGCAGAAGATGTAGTTTTACGTGCTGGAGTATGTGGGCTTCGTAATCTTGGTAATACTTGCTTTATGGCTGCTGGTTTGCAATGTTTAACTGCAACACCACCCGTCCTGCGACATTTTTTGGATTTGCAGCAGAGGGGGGAAAAACTACCTCCTCCAGGATCATTGATGGCACATTTTAGTGTACTCCTTGGCAAAATGTGGTCTGGCAAATATAGTGTTCTTAGGCCTACTGAGTTTAAACAAACGTTAGGAGCGTATCATTCACAATTTAAAGACTATAGACAGGTAATTGTAAAAATAAATTTTTATAAACTGTGTAACTATTACTAAATAATACTAAATAATTATTATGAATAATATTGTTAATTATCAGCATGATTGTCAAGAATTTCTTGCACTTTTACTGGATTCCTTACATGAACAAATGAATACAGCAAAGTGTACAAAAAATTGTCAAACTCCATCATCTACAACCACTGCCAACTCTATTAATTCAATTGAGAATTCAAACGGGAAAACCATGTCCCCAGTCACTGCCACTAGTAATTCCAATTGTAATACGGATTTATTGGAAATGTATGATTGTTTACCATCACCAGAATGTCCAAATAGCCCTAATGTTACAATGGCAGGCTCACCAAGAGGTAAAAGTATAAATTAATATAGATTAATAATAAATATTACGCATTGCATACAAACAGAAATTATAAGAAATAATTCATTATAGATTTAGGTTCGCCGATAGGTGAATTAGATAGTATTGCAAATTCGCCACGAGGATCGCCTTTAAATGATGGCGATGACGACGAAGAGACACTTGATTCTGATGAAACTGTCGAAGCAAAGTCAAACACGTTTATTCACAATGTAGTCGATGAGAAAAAAAATGAAGTTACGCCTTCATTAAGGCTAGAAACATTAATCGAACTTTCGAAAAATGTTCCAAAATATCACGGTCTTTATGATATTCATAAAGAAGCAAAAACTAGTAATGCAAATTTTTTGGTAACACAACAAGAATGTAACAACGAGATTCATTACGATTCTCAAAAGTTTCCAAAAGAAAATGTTCGTAGAATGCCTTTAGACAATTCAAATTTAATGGAAAATCATGATTTTGACAATAAAAGTGTCAGTATCAAAAGAATAAAAGAAGTCAATGTTCAAAAAGTCAATTGTGGTGTAGATTATACATCAAGTGGTTCTGATATGGAGTATGATAATGGCTTAGAGAAATGTAATGTAAAACGGATGAGATTGGATGATCAAGAGAAAAATCATAAACGTGATGGCCAGGGAAGCATTAGCTCTCACTGTACGCGAATCTCACAAAGTTATGGGAATGGTGCTATAGAAGCACAAGATGAACTCGAGGCCGACAAACATTGGGCAAAACATTTAAAATCTAATAGAAGTATTATTGTTGATACTTTCCAGGGACAGTTTAAAAGCAAGGTAAATTTACTGTATCATACAGTCATACATGATATAGTATGGAGACTACGTTGGGGTAATTGACACATATAATTGGCTTTTACCGTAACATGTGTCCTATATTAAAGTTCAGCAGTTATACCTTCTTGTTTTGGGAAGTATAAAAAGCAGGTCTCATTTTGCTGATATATAATAATATTTAAACTATATAATATATATGTTATTCATATATAAAATAATTTACATTCTGATACTTTTCTTGCTTTATAGGTTGTTTGCGCAGTATGTGATCATGTTTCTGTTACGTATGAACCTTTCATGTATTTATCAGTACCGCTACCTCATGCGATGGAGAGGCAATTAAACGTTACATATGTTCCCGCAAACGGAGATCAACCAATAAGGTGCGTTGTTTCATTAAACAAACAATCACGCATTGGAAAACTGAAGGAGGAGCTATTAAAAACACTTGGCAAAGAAAATATTGCAGTAGCAAATATTGCACTTGCTGAAGTTTTAGAAAATCATATATCAAAGATACTGGTAAGCATATATCGTTTTACTTGCGAGAGATAATTTTCTGTTTGTTTAAATGTATCTAGAAAAGTTTGTGGATTTATGCAGTAGTCATTTGAATAATTAAGTTATTTAAATAATCTTTCAATCTAGTATACTTTTTAAAAATGTTTCAAGTTATTTGTTTTTACTAGGAATAAAATTCAATTTTATTCCATATCATAAAAAAAAAAAAAAAAAAACGGTGCGTGGGTCTATATGTTAATGCGAGAATAATTACGGAGGGTGAAGAAGACGGCTTATCGAGTAGTCTCGATAATCGTTGATACTGCTCTCCGAGAGTAAATGTTATGGAAGAACATTCTCGTAACATGAAATTAAGTTACGAGGCTACATTCCATCATACAAATTTAATTTCCATATATATTCTATATATATTTATATTTATATTTATATTTATATTTATATTTATATTTATATTTATATTTATATTTATATTTGGTTTTCCTTATTTATTTTCTTGTTACTGGCCAACTGTGGCCGTTATTTCTCGATTATATTATTTTACCCTTGCACCGTAGGTATCAGGAATTATGTATCTTGTTTGCTGTAACTTATCGCACTAGACGGAATTGTCATTGTTGGATTGTACATCAAGGTTTTACATTTAAGGATGACAATACACTCTTGAGACACATCAATGATACAAATCGATCTATATATGCCTTTGAACTCACGGAACCTCCTGATGCGTACACTTCAGTACCAGATGGTGGTGGAGATCGCGTGACGGAGACTGATTCCTGTCAAAAATGTACAGTGACGGGTGAAGAAATTCCATGTACAATTTGTCTCGAAGAATTGGACGGAGATTTGAAAAGGCACAGCGGGAACAGTTGCAATTTTGTTATGTGTGATACTTGTATCGAGGTATGCTACTCTGTTTGTTCTGCAGTTTTATTTTCTCACTATATTTTTGAGGACGAATAATATTAAAGGATGAAGTTTTCTTTTTTTTCTCAATTAATTTTTAGTTTTCTTCATTGTTATTGATATTTTATTCGATATTTCAATTGATATGAATATAAAAACCCGATGATGAAAACGGCAGCTTCAATCTAGCGGGAGGGGTGTGCAGGCAAGGTACATATAGTTACCACAGTTTCACCTCGGGAAGGTCTGAGATTAAGTCAACAAACGTTCTAGCCGGACGGTATCATAAGGGTACGTACGGGAATCAGAAATAGCTTTCCGTTACCAATTAGCCCAGGAAACTTCGTACGAAGTAGAGGTATTTGGAAACGAAAAGATGGAAACCCGTATGATTCGCTATTTGAGTACAATCCGCAAGCCAAAAGATATACATTTTGGAACTCAATTCAGACTAATCTGAAGCTGCTGTACACTGAGGGTATTATTCTTTGATAAATGGTATCACATTGTAAAAATTGAATTTTTGGAATGTATATAAATCTGGCGCGTTACGTGCACTCTAAATCATTATTTTACGTTTGATTTAACAGAATTACTTCAAAAATCAAACGGAACCGCAAATGTGTCCAATGTGTTCAACTTATATGACTGCATCGTCCTTTATTAAAATAGATCAGACAGGCAGACCGAGACCTGCAGTTAGGATATTAAATGTACCATTGGTCTTGCGACATGATACGACGAACGAGACGACAAACAACCGTAAAGGAACAAAACTTTTTGGGTATCCGCATTTAGTAAGATTACCTTCGAGAGTAAACGCGAAAGATTTGTACGATATTGTAAGAAAGAATGTATCACAAGAAGGGAATTATACACTTCATTTTGTTACAGGACAGGTTGGAATCTTTATCTGTTATTTTTCATACTTTCAATAAGTGGTTAAATACATCGGCTAAAGTATCTTTTTTAATAGGGGCATCATTGTTCTCGTTGCATGTATACTACACATTGTACAGGGTGCAGTGTACCTGAAACGGGTATGGTAATCTTGTGTAATGGCGATACTTTAGCTGTACGTTACACAGAACAGGTTCCTAAGATCGCATCCCCTATCGATCATGTTAGCGTCAGCAAACAAAGGCCTCATCATCCCTTATCTTTATATGATTGTCTTCAAGCATTTAGTCAAAGGTAGAGTTTATTGTTACGATTGAAATTGTTCCGTATTAAAAGTTTTTGAAATAATTGGTACAATATATACTTTGCAGCGAAACATTAGATGAACACAATCCGTGGTTTTGTCCAAAATGTGAACGAAATCGGTGTGCCACAAAAACGCTCACAGTTCATAGATATCCCAAGTTCCTCATAGTGTATTTGAAACGGTATGTCTATTTTTGATTGCATAACGACTGTTCTGCAATATGATAATTGTATTTCTTTTTTTTTTTTTGTTATAGATTCGTATTTTATGAATGTACTAGTATGAAATTGGACGATAAAGTTACATTTCCTTTGGTCGGTTTAAGTGTTGGGCAACACTTGTACGATCTTTACGCGTGTGTTTGTCATTTCGGAGGTATGTATCATTGTTTCACGCATTTTAGTTAAAACTATCATGGTGTTTTGATCTCTGTTGTTATATCACAGGGGTTTCAGCTGGTCACTATACCGCATACGCGAAAAATCCTCGCACCGATATGTGGTACTACTACAATGATGAAATTACTAGCAGACAAAAACCACAGGAGGAAGATTTTAGCAACGCATATATACTTTTTTACAGTCGGCAAGGGACCAATTTAAAATCGTGTAATATATAACCAGTGCTGGAACAAAGAAACTGGCAAACAGGCAGTGCCAGTGAGATAAAAAGTGTGAGAAACAGAATAGAATATAGGAAATCAAGAGAAGAGTTTATAAGGTGTTGCGTTTATATGTTGATCGAACTGCGTCATACTGAATGGGAAACTGCTCAGAAATTTCTCGATCTATTTTCCTAATAATTCGTTCATGATCTGTCTCTGTGTCTCTTTTCCTTTCTTACACTATTGTCGCTGTTAAATTCGTAGTGAATATCTTACAACGTGATGTACACGTGTAAATTCATTGACTGTCGAGTATTGTGGATTGGTACATTTTATCAATGACCGTTTACTGAGTTGGAAGGTATGTTGTTACCAGATTATTAATGATGTTTAACATGAAAAGAGCAGTTGGGTAAGAAAAAGTTAATAATTTGGAAGGAACTAAGCGTATTTATACCAGATTAGTGCGTGAACGTACGTCGAATTTGTACAGTAGTAGGTGATTAAAGTAGACTTTGAGGTTTTGAACAGACGTAATTTATTAGTGAATAAAGGCGAACGTTACGACTAGACACACTTAAAAAGTACGATCCTTAACGATGGAGTGTAACCATTCAACTGTATCATTATTTTCTTTTTATCTGAATGGATACAAGACTGCTAAGATGTTCGTAATCTGCATGTACATTGTAGCAAAAAAAGTTTGTATTTGCAGATTATTTATTAAATTAGTTTTGTTGTAATTTTATTACAAGATATTCATTTTACTTGTTATATGCGCTCGTATCCTCACGCGTACAATCGACACACGCATGCGTTATAATACATAATCATCATACCCGTTGTTAATATACTATTTGTGGCTCGATGACTGTATTATACGTTTTTGGCGTACAAGTTATTGTAAAAATTATCTTGAAAGAAACTGTTTCAATTTTTCGATCAAAACCTGCCAACTAGGAACTGATTATATCGTTTTATATTTGTGTTTACTCGGTACTTTATGTAATTTTATGATTGTTTCTTGTTTTTTTAAATTAACCAATTAATATAAATGAATCCTTGGTTACAATATTGAATCTTGGTATTGAAAAATGAAAAATTTTTAATATTTTGTTGGAAATAAAAATTGCGAAATTTGTATATTGTTTCGTTAGATTGAGTTCAGTAATACTAGGATTCAATAATTTACAATATTGGGTAGGAAATACCGCATTGTTCTAATTGCTATTTGGAAGAATTGTATCTTTATAGCCATCGAAAGTTTATTTCAAAAGAGAAATATACGAGTACAAAGATTGAGATATGCAAAATCGAGGGAAACTAAGGCCACCGATAGGGTAACGATTAGGTACGTTAAATATATATGTAAAAGACGATCTTTGGTATGTACATTAAAAACCTTATCGATAAATGTTCCGCGATAAATATTTGCATTGTAACGATCAAAAACGTTTGTTCGCTCGATGGTGTCAAAAATACGCCATTAATTATTGAAGAGCGGTACTCGGAAACTTTTTAGATATTTTAACGATAACCATAAATAATGGTATGTTGGTGTTAGAATATATTTCTCAAAATTTGTTTCAACCGTTCCTTTTTCTAACCTAACGAAACTACAATTATTCTACTCTTTTTGTTCAAATGGTGATGTACATATCACTGTTTCTTCTGTGCTTGGCTACTTTTCTTTATCTATACGCGCCGTGTATCGTTGTTAAAATTTCTTGATTGCTTAATGTAAAGACACTGTGAACCATACCACTGCTCCAGGATGTTCCAGGCCTCCGATCTCGCAATTTATCGTTCGGGTTTCGCCGTTTAAAACGAACAGTGCATCGCTAGATGGGCTGACCATGTATTTGCCAAATATGCCACTTTGTACAATTGGCCTATTTGGATTTCCCCATTTCGTTAAATTAGGCGACGTTGCTTTACCTACGCCTGTTATCATTTCTACTTTACCTGTAACGGGAAATTAATATTTTAACTTTTCATATTGCAGATGTCAAAGTTTAACAATTGCGTTTAACAATTTTTTCTTATACCAGTGGATAAGTCGAGGAAGAGAATGTTCTCTTTGTCAATGGATGATGCGTAAATATCGTAACCATGTGTCGTTTGTGACGGGTAGAGCGCGATATCGCTGATATTCAATGTCGTTTTTACGTCGAATGCGAATTTTAGACCATCGGCTGAAAAAGAAAAAAAAAAAAAAAAATTGGTTGATTGTTACGAGCAATATCGTTAATAAGTTAACGAAGAAAAAATAAATTCTAATTACAAGATATTTCTTGTACGACTAGAGTTACGCCTGTGTCCTGTTTGTCTAAAGTGACAAGGTGACGAGAATCAGGTGATATTGTTGGTTTTCCTAAAAGATTCGGCTTGTACGCAAGAACGGTGTCAGTTAGGTAATCAAGCAACAATTGACCCGTTGGTCGGTTGGTAACTGGTTCTTGACATTCGATCACTACGAATCCATCTGAAAAATAGAAAAAGTATACGTGCAGATTTGTATCGAATATTTATGCTGAAGCAAATTACTTACATAGAACTGAAAATTGGACATTCACTGGAACACAGTTGTAAGAGCTTAGATCGGCGCTGCGTGTATATTTCATATTTTTCAAATCAAGTTTATACATGTTACGTTGATTCGCGTGACTCACGTAACCGTATTTGAACACGTTTTCAATATCCTAAAAGATAAAAAGATATATACGTGTTAGTACCTTGCTTACGTAGTACAGCTCTAGAATAGACGAGGACATTTTTAACAATTAAGAGACTTGCTTGTGGTTCGGGTATATAAATGTTTTGAATTATATCAAATTGCGCATCGATCGGCTCTGGTCGAATGGCTCGGTGCTTTTTCTTTTGAGCAGCATCCTCTATTACTTGTACGGTTTTTACATCGATGTCTTTCTCGTTCCGCCAGTTCAATATCCATACTTGATCAAGAGAGGGAACGTACCAGAGCTGAACAGGATTCTTGTCGGTCGGTACCACCTGAAATGAAAAGAGCACCAGTCACTTTTAATGGTGACAGTTGCATTTAACGAGTAAAAGTAACGTTAACAAAGTGCAAGTTTACTCACGTCGACTATGACCATTTGTATCTCGCTGATGACAAGTACACGATCTTTATCCGGTTGGCTGACGTACACGTACCGATTTGCCACATTGATCGCACGTCCCCACGAACAAGGAACACCCTGAACGCCACACACGTATTCCTAAGTTACAAAATTTAACATGTAAAAATATGAAACTAAATTTGTTGTTCCAGGCTATCGCTTGTAATTATTAAATATTTGAAAGTATTCGTAACATTGTTGATGCAACGACAGTGACGTTCGATAAAAAAATGCAATTAACATACGAAAGTCTTGAACAATAGAAATCTGAACCGAGTTTGTATGATAAATAGACAAAATATTTAACAACGCGTTTTATTTCACCTGTGTACCAGGTATGACATCCGTAGATCGAATTTCATGCCGCGGCCGGCAAGTAGACGGCTCGTATACCAGAATGCCCCAATTGTGGAAAGAAAAGAATCTTCGCTCCTCGTTCTCGGTCGCTAGGTAAAAACATAATTGTCATTGATTTATCTAAATTCATAAATGATTATATTTCTTTATATTTACGAATATATATTTCGTACGAGAAACTTCTTTTTTTTCATTAATTATTGTTATTACTGTGTCGTACGAACTATATTACTTATTGCTTTATTCAATACGCAGGAGAACAGATCTACACATATGCGTGACAAGCAGTGACTTACTTGGAGTAGGTTGTTCTTGAACCACCAAACTACTGATGTCTCTAGTAATTCCACCGATACTACTAGCTTGACACATGTACGCTCCAGTGTCGGCGTAATCAACGTTTTTAATGACGAGCTTGGTACCGTTTCCAACAAGATTGTACTTGTCCGGTTGATCGTGGTTCAGCGCTTCGTCATTTTTCAACCATTCCACTCGCGGAAGAGGTTCACCAGCCACGTGACACCTTATACTCGCTTCCTCTTTTAAACGTTTCGCTTGGAATCGCGGTGTTACCTTCACTTCGGGAATCGCTGAAGACCCAAAAAAACGTTCTCGTAAAAATCCATCATTGTCCATTCGTTGCGATATACTCGAGATACTTACTGTGAATAGTTAGTATGTGAGTTTGAACGACGTCTTGGTTCCTAACTGCGTGGCAAGTGTAATTTCCAGCGTGTATCAGTTGCACTTTCGTTAGATAAAGGCTACCATCGTTGAACACTCGAATCTAGCGAGGGAAAGAAAGTGATTATCGATTCGTGATTATCGTCGACGAAATGGAAGCTCACTTGTCGAATTATTTGTTACAAAAATACGTGCGTAAATACGTGAATTATCGAATTATTTATTATAAAGACGTGAAAAGGAAAACTAACGATCTTTTTTTTTTTTTTTTTTTTTTTTTTAAGAAATCGTTCGTTGTACCTCAGATTCGTTTAACGTTTCTAAATCAGCCCCATTGCGGCGCCACATTAACGGCGGCGGCGGTGTTCCCGTGACATCGCATTTAATTTCCACATTATCGCCCACCCTGGCAGAGATGTGATTCACCTCGAGGGATTTGTCCAGAGATACTACCGAGACACCTACGTACGAACGATCGAGCTGTATTTGAGTATGCAAAGACTTTTCTTTGTTTTTTTTATATACACGCATTATATGCATCTCGTCCTTTGTGATCAAACGAGAAACGTTGCTGAACGTTCAAGAGAAGGAGAAAAACTTTTGCCAAGTTTTTTGTTTTCGCGTTTCGGTGTGACTGTAATCGTAAGATCGAGTGCTCACTGTAAAGTTTACTGAACGCCATGTAAAATTCATTCACGTTCAGTTTCCCATCGCCGTCCGTATCGTCGTAGCTGATCATGTGACCAAGATTGCAGCCTCTGCACAACTCTTCCAAGTCCTCGTTCTCTGCGAACTATAAATCACCGTTTGTCACGTGAAATATATATATATATATATATAGAAGACAATCGAACAATCTTCGAGTCGCGGCGAAACTAAAGCGAAGGAGAGTTACCTGTTCCAGTTCTTCGCGTTCCAAGTTGCCATTGTTATTTCGATCGTAGTGAGAAAACATTATACTAACGAGGTATTCTTTGCTGTGGTTGTCTTGCGACATTAATCTCGCGTGATTGTAGAGTAGCAAATTATCCTGGAATGAAAGGAGAAATAGAGTCGCGCAACATTCGACCACAGAGGAAGCTGTAAGGCGACATTTCGCCGGATACCTCCGTCTTACCTTCATTATTTCGTATTCTTGATTCGAGCACTCCTTCGAGTCGGAGTCGTTCTTGTCCGGTATCAAGTTATCCTTCAAACCGCCCTTCTTTCGACTCCTCGATCTCGGATAAGAAACGATCTTGCCCGTTTTGGGCGACGTTCTATTCACGTGCAGGGTTCTTCGAATGTGAGCGTTCTCGATGTCTGGATTTAGAAAAAAATCGCATGGATCAAAATTTGCATCTGAACGCGACTTAATCCGACAATATCGATCATTGTGTGAAAGCTAAATCAAAGCTTCATTTCGCGTTTGTATCTTCCGGTTTCAAGTTTCAAGTTTCAGACAGTCCGGATACAACGAGTAACACGTTAGAAAATTCTGTTAAAGAATTGCTCCCGTAATTTGCCTCGTCCTTGTCGAACGAATGCCATATCAATTCCGTGGTATCAATCCGTTTGCGTGCACGCGCGGCAACGTGATCGATATTTATTAATGCAAGCAGCGTGACGGACGGTTTGTAAGAAATAAAACTAAATAAAACGAAATATGTAATCGAGGATATGTAATCCTCACCGTGATGTAGACATCGCATCAGTCTGCTTCTGGTCAACGGTGACTCCGAGTGGCAGGCAGCTTTGTGCAGCTCGCAGTGATTCGCGTAGATCTTGCCGTTGCTGGCGCAGACCGGCCGATGCCTTCGCGGGCACTTTCGTATGCAAACGCAGACGGCGACGGTGGTGTTGCTCGGCGAGAGTTCGCATTCCTTGCCGATCCCGCAATATTTCGTCGCGCAGGCATCGATCGGATGCCGACCTGCAGAGAGAGAAAGAGAGAGAGAGAGAGAGAGAGAGAGAGAGAGAGAGAGAGAGAGAGAGAGAGAGAGAGAGAGAGAAAAATAACGGAGACATCACGATTTCGCCGTTGGCTTTCAACAACAACCGAGGAAAGCTATCCCCCGGGTGATTGATTCCGCAAATACACGTGCGATTTGTTTTTCCCGATGGTCGCGCGGTTGCCTGACGACGTACCTACGTACCTACCTACGTACACGATCTCTCAAGTGCTCCAGAATTGGATTCGATGCCTCGCCAGCTCTCCGATCCTCGGTTAAAATTATTCAAATTCTCCGGCTACCAGGCGGATTGTATATACGTCTCGCTTTTCCCTTTCTTTCTTCTTCCTCCCCACTCTCGCGTTCACAGAACTGTCGCTGTCTCCTCCTCGTCTTTCCCTTTCGCCTCGAGTTCGTTTATTCATCAAAGAGACTCTCGAATATTTTATTGCCGGGGAGATTCCGTTTCCGGGGGTTACGAGAATCCTCTTGTTACGCGCATTTGACGCGAAGAACGGAACGCGGCGCGGAAAAGAGGATCGCAGCTGGAGAAATTTTCGGGCGAATATCTCCACTGTTATTTCGGGTTTTGCATCGACGTGTTTTACACGTTTTACACGTCCGTCGGGGAATCCGTTTGAAGCCGTTGAATTCTTTGGTCGAGCCAGCGCTCGTTGCAAATTCTTCGTGCAATTTGTCGGGCCGTTGTTCGCCCGCGCCCGCGCCCGCGCCCGCAACCCCGGTACAAATATTTCGCACGGCGTGTTTGTTGTAATTAATACCGGCACCGGCCAGTGATTGACGTTAATTAGCACTCGGATCTGTAAAATTCACGGCAATGCCTCGAGTAATTATTACCGGCAATTACCAGCAACACGCCGGCTTTCGTCTTTGTGCCTCGCGCAAATATCAATCGTTTTCTGATATTTTAATATCGCCGATCGTTGATAATTGAACGCGCTTGTCGTCGTCGTTGTTGTCGTTGCGCGTTTCAATTTTCCAGCACGGACACGTACCGAGTAATCACGGGAAAAATCGATATGCCTCCATATTACGTTTGTTTGTCCGCGCTGTGCGAGGAGAAGTTGCGCGGGGATCGCGCCGCGTAATCGAATTACTCCTTGACCGGACAGACGAAGTTTGATATAACGCGATGTGCGCGATATTCTACGTAGTCGCGTTGGTATTAATGCTGGCGCTCGTTCTCTACGCGATTCTTGCGGCGTATCATTTGGCTTGAACGGCTGGAGCTGAAGGCGAAAATTTAATATTAATCTTTGACCGAGGGGGCAGAGATCCCAGAGGAAGAGTAAGAGAAAGGAGGAAAGGAAAGAAAGTAACCACGAAGGTCTCGGTGGGCGTTCAAATCGTCGGCGCGGTGATCGTCACCGGCGTCGTCTGCTTCATCCTCAAGATACAGTATCTGTAAAATCTTCTTTCGCAATTCTCTTTCGATGGACGACGTTTGATCGCAACGAAAGCCGCGGTACGATGAAAGATAGTCAAGTCTCGTTTCAAACGATCGTTGTTCGACGTTGGAGGGGCGAGAACGCGAGAACACGGCGTCATTGTACGTCGCAAATTATACATTCGTCGGGATATAATCAGTTAATTAAGGAAACGTTGAACCAGACTCTCCCTCCCCTCTCGCCGGGAGCAGTCGCGCTGACGAAAGAACAACGGGAAAATTTGCTTTAGAAAAATCGTAACCACGAATGTAAAGCGTTCACGGTACAGATCACGGGAATGGTCGGTTTCTTCCTCTCTCTCTCTCTCTCTCTCTCTCTCTCCCTTTTTTTCTTTTTTTTTCATTTTTGTCAGGCTGTATCAAATGCACACCGCGTGTAAACGCGTTCATTAATTTCTTCCGGCATGCCGGCTGGTTTTTGTTTCGTACTTTCAATTTTCGTTTCCCTCGCGTCGAAGAGGAGAAGAAGAAAGGACCGCCGCGGCTGGTAACGTTAATTTCGCGAGGGCCTCGACTTTGTAGACGCATCTTCGCTGCCACTGTATACGTTTCTAACATTTCTCTCCGCTTTCCTTTCTTTTCCATCAATTTTTTAAAATAACGAACGAGAAAAGCGAGGCAAAGTTCTCTCCTCGCTGGGAGACGTCGGGCTATTAGATGGGTAACTTTTTGGTCGCTTACTTTCAGGAAGGTACGACTCCTCGTGAAGCGAGGATCGATCGATCGACGGCGGCGGTATCGTCATCGAATGGCTGTCACCGTTGGACGATGTTGCGTCGTAGCTCTCGGCCACGGTAAAGTCTCGGTGTCGCCTTGAGTGCTGAAAGGAATGAAAAATGCATACGTAAGAACCGCAGAGACAAAACTGGGTTAAAGGCACGAGGTGGGTCAAGAAAAGCGGTTCGAGTGTTGGGTTGGCGCGCGGATGTTGGCAGGTCGAATCGATCGGAAGGGGGTGCACGATCGACCCACGTTCAGATTAGGCACGATCGAGTTTGGAAAGAAGCGCTTCTCGTCGTTAACGAGAATTAGAACAGACAGGCTTGTGCCCATCGTCGTCGTCGTGGCTGCAGCTGGCCACATATTGGCGCGCGTACGTACGATCGCGCACGTCACGGCGACGTTCTTTTTCCAAGGAAACATACGAGATTTCGTTCACGTTTAACCGAACCGATCCGATCGAGCCCCCGATCTGCTTTCCATTTTTATTAAAACGTCCGACTCGCGGAGTGTTATTGGCAAACTTTGTTACCCGAAGCCGGGGAACATCTTCCGTGGCCCGAGCCATTGTTGATACGAGGCGCATCATCCGCCATGAAGATTAATCTTCTTAAAAAAGCCGCCGACAAGATGTTCCGCGGGAAGTGGGATCGTTTCGCATCTTTCGAGGCGGTCTCCGTTCTTTTCTTTTTTTTGTTTTCATACTGTATTTTCCTATTCAAACGGTCAAAAAATAGAGGAACGAGGAAAGAGAAGGGAAACGAGCAAATTGTCCCGGGACACGACGCACAGGGAAATCCGCTTGTTTCTAGCCTCTGTGTTACTTTCATTGTTTCAACTAAAAATAAAGAAGATCCTCGATCTATCTGACGTTCGCCCGACGTTAAATTCCTCCACCGTTCGTGGAACGAGGGATGATAAAGTATCAATATCGAGAGACAAACAGGCTCGAAAGAAGGATCGAGCAACGAGAGTTTTCTGTCCGTTCGATTTTTCATACGGTGGAACGCGATAGGATACAGTCTGGTCGGTCGTCGGATAGTCGGATAGTCGGATAGAGGGGCGGAGAAGACAGGGAAAGAAAACAGGAATTGGTTGGAGAGTTCTGAAAGCGATCGGATGCTCGGAAGTTCAGTTCGGCGAGGGTTAATATACGAAGCTGAAATATCAGATCGACATCGGGAAATATGAGTAGTTTTAGGATCCATTTATTCTCGCGGCCGCGTTCTTTCACCGGCCAAATTTACGAGGACACCGCGGCGTCCCCCGTATCTCCATTAGCGTCCCCTGAAATTGTTCACTCGCGGGAACCGGTGTTTTCAATTTCACTCCGTGAAATTACCGGCCGCGGGCGAGAACAACTCTTTGAGAGTTGAACTTTAAGAATTAATTTAGATAGTCGGAGAGAACTCGTCTTTAAGAATCATTAAACTTCGAGCCGGTTTCAGACCCGGGTTTCAGTTCTTGCGGTTGGAATCCGTTGCCTTTGTGATTAACCGTATTTTCTAAACACGCCCGCCTCTGCTTCTCGCCCCGAACATTCCGCGCTTTCGTCCGAAAATACGCAAAATATTTTCGAACGTCGAGCAAATCACGTTGTGCAAGTTCGTTCCTTTCGTTCGAATCTTCCTTTCACGAACTATCGTATCACGATAACTATTTTTCGTTGCTCGCTCGATAATAGACGATTAAAATAAGAGAAATGGGACATTCGTCCATCCATTTTTACACGCGATACTATTTTTATCGGGTGTCTCGTTTTACGCGATATCAATTTATGCGATCTGAATTTACGCCGGCCAAAAAATAGGCATTATAGACATCGATCGAAACGTTCAACGAGACTTAAACTACATTTCCACAAGATTTAAAGAAATGTTGCCGCGAATATCAGCAAGTTCATGAAAACTTTGGCAAAAGAATACGAATTGTTCGAAAACAAGAATTAAAAAAATTGAAAACTAGCGAGTTTGTGCCAATTGAAAAGAAAAGGTTCATTGTTTTTGAATTACAGTAGCGACACACCGAATACCTATGTTAACATAAATATCTAAATATCTATATTTATATTATATAATATATCTAAATATCTATATCTACATTACTATATATATATTTTTTTTATTAAGCTGTGTGAAACAGGCTTTCCTTTCGTACCGACAGATTTTCATTCGCGCAAAACGAATCCACGTGGAATACTCCTACTTCTTTGGTTTGTTATCGATACAATTTTCGCGAGTGACGAGTGCATTAATCACGTGGAAGCAAGCAGATTGATGGGAAATCTTGGACGTTGAATTACAAGAAAAGCCGACGCTGAATTACATTTTGTCACTTGGAACGCTAACCCGCGAGTTCCTTTTTCTCCCCCTCCCTTTCAGCATTCGTCCTTCGAGCCGTGTTTCACAGCTGCGCATCCCTGCGCCGAGGTTTTATCAAATCGATCACCGCGACGCGAATAGCCAATTTGTTTTGGAAAAATTGCGATTCCGTCCGAGGCGAGGATTCGAAAGAGTTCGCACGTTCGTACGTTCGGTACGTCCGACATCGCGTCCGATCCAATTACAGCCAGCTATTTCGTTGGTTCCTCGACTTGCCGTATTAACGCGTGTTATTTCGGATTATCGATTAACGGCTGTCGGCGTCGAGGTCGATGCCATTGATTACAGCGTAGCCGACGGCTGTGTCGGAGATTTTTAACAATACGTTTCTCGTCTACCTGCACAATCGCTGGAATTTTATCGCGCGAAAGAGCGGAGGACGAGTTTTCGGGGAGGAAACTCGAAGCGAATTTTGCGAAAAGACGCTACAGGTATACGACGCTACCGGTTAGGTAGACGTTCGTTAGGAGATAGAGGGGCGGAGAGAGAAGGCACTTGAATGCAAACCTCGCCCTCGAAATTCAACTCGCTCGTAAATACGGCCGGAATCGTGTACGGGGATCACCGTTGCCATTATTTTCCGCGAGATAATTAAATGTCGCGCAAGGAGGGAGGGACGGGTTTGCGTTTACCGAGGGATTTGCAACTTCTTGGACGAGCAGAGCACGATAATTGATAACGCGAGCCGTGCTCTCTCGCTTCGCTCTCAACTCTCAAGAAGAGAGGCGAAGAATAGATCGGGATCAAAATCAAAACAAAACGTGTCGGCCCGTTGGAAATTAGTCGGTTTTGTAGCGCTTGAATTCAGTTGTCGGACGTTGTTTGCATTTACATTTATCATGGGTGTCGGCGCAATCAAATCCGCTTCAGGCCGCGCGGCCTGCGAATTATCCTCGCATACGGGAGGAGGACAAATGCCCGGCACCGATCCAACCACCTACGCGCTGGGTAAATTCTGGCACGCCGACAATTATGTTGGACTGCGCGGCGCGTTACACGATCCACGAGACAAGTGGTCCAGCGTGCACATGCACGCATCAGAACAAACACTTCCGGTCAGGATTAGCGGAATGGCCAGCACCGGCCATTGCTCGAGCACCGATGACAAGGGCAAGTCACATGTCCACGCTGTGATTCCCCGTGATGATGATGGCCCGACGCAGAACCAGAGAAACTGAAAAGCGACAACTGCACGCTACAAGTTGCTTCTCCAGCTTCTGCGGCACCGTTTTAGTTTGCTCTTCTGCTCATTGTCAGTCAGCTAGTCAGCCAGAGCAAGAAGAATCTGTGCATCTGTGGGATACACTGATACTCGGATACATTGTCGAAAGTATCAAAAATTGGATTAATAATGTAGAGGGCAGAGATCACGGATCGTTTTAGGATCGAGGGTTTGGCCACGAATCTGCAGAGACTACTCTAGACTACTCGACGGGGCTGCCAAGGACAATCGTCGTCGTTGAAAGAACCATTTCGTGGACTGCCCGGAGGTTAAGAACTCGTCGTGCCAGCCACCTAGGCCGCGAGACTCGTTTCGAATTCAACGCTCCAGACCCCCGAATAATACGTGGCTTTTCTCGTCCGTGAGATGGTTTAGGCAGTATCATTTCCGGATGCTCCGTTATGGATATCTTTCGACCTTGAGATGATACGTAATAATCTCTCTAATCTCGAGACGTTTTCTGGGAATTCTTCGTCCGCTGAGAGTGGATTTCAAGTTCTACGACTTGAAAACACGCACGTGAAAAGATCTCTGGATCGTCATTGAAGCAAATCACTTGGAGATTATCTTTTTCAAAAATATCATGTGTATGGGTCAGTGTCCAACCTTTTAGATTTTCTGTGCCAACAAATTTACACATTTTTTTCTTTTTATCAAAACAACTTTTATAGCGAAACAATACACTGATTAGAAAGATATATTTGTATCAATTGAAAAAAATGTGAAAATTTTTAATGAAAACGCCGAGCTTGTTTCTTTTTCTTTAGATACCAGTTCGTCAATATCTTCTTTGATATAGATTAGTGACAATATGAAGACTATTATTCAAGATGCTCGTCTACAGTTTTTCTTCTCATTTTATTTCTTCTTTACGGGGAAAGAATCTGCTCGCAAATACAAGTATTCACCAAAAGAGGCATCACGAACATTCATGGTTAAAATAATAAAATTCTCGTTCAATGATTCCAATTTTTTTGGTTATACGGCGCGGGTTGGACACGTCTGTTTTAAATCTTGAACAACTACAGATTAATTTACAAAGATTGGCAAATTAAATTAATACGGATTAATTTAAGATGTTTAATACCGTGTAGATTCAACGAAATATTTCGAGAAAGATAGAATATATTCGTTTATGAATAAGTTTTGCAGTCGAAGAATAATTAAATTCCATCTACGAAGCGCACACAGTTCCAGGTATGAATTGCATCTATCGCGGTGTTCCAGCCCCTTTAGCTTTAATTTACGATCACGTTCCGTCGTTTCCACCTAGTGTACGTCTTCCGATTTCCAGATAATCCACGATGAATTCTTCGATTCCGGGATCCGAGGTCTTATATATGTACTTCAGGATGGTCAGTTCATACCCCTAAGACGGTTACCGAAGGATTTTGACGTTACTGAGTAGTGCGGGATTGAAATTGACCGATGTCACGTCGGGATTACATCATTTTTTGCGGGATTCAGCGGATCGAGCTTAGTGAAAAATCTTAATTCGAGCTAGGGAACTTAGTCTCGTTATCGCGCGTTTCTAAAGGCCACACTTCAACGCTTTGTCAATCCCTTTTTTAAAAAGCAAATTTACTCCCAGTAAATTTGTTTGTCCCAGTGATGATGATAAAATTGTATATATTCTGCAAAATTATTATTATTATTATCCGGCATGTTTTAGATATTCCAGGTCTCACCAGATAACAAAAATTTGTTAACGGCTGCATATAGTTTACATGTTTTTTTTATCAGTTCAATATAGTCTATATTATTTATGAGGATATTAATTTAAAAAGTATGAAAAAATATGAGGATATTTATTAAAAAAATTTTATAAAAATTTTCAACGAGAACACCGAGCTTGTCTTTTTAGATATCAGTTCATCAATATCTTGTTCGACACAGACAGTAGCAATAGCTCGTTTAAAATTTTTGTTTTTATTTTATTTTATTTTTTGTGTGTTTCATACGGGGAAACGTTTATTCGCAAATATAATACATGTATTCCCCAAAAGGGACATCACGAACAGCTGAATATTTTTCTTCAGGCAGTAGTTTTATAAAATTCTAATAAAGACACTTGGATAAATTTTTCCTCGAGTTGTATATCCGATTGCAACTCGACAAATTCCATTTACACGTCTGATAACTGAGAATGAGGGGAGTAACAACTATGCCAAACGTCCAAAGCAAAAAGTATTTCGTTTAGCTCTTGGAAATTATTCGTAATTTCACTCTAACGCTAAATCAAAAAAAAAAAAAAAAAAAAAAAGAAAAAAAAAAAGGTACGATTATTCATTCAGGTTAAAACTACTCGAATAATAAAATTCTCGTTCAATTATTCGATGTTTGGTTATACAGCGCGGTTTGGACACACCTGTGTCACACGAACGTAACCGCAGTTTTCGCGGACGTGCGAGCGTAAATAATTTGAAATTGGCAACGATTAATACCAACGCGGACTTCCCTACGCCACATTTATCTTGACTTTTGGGTCACGTTCCGAATAACTCGGCCCTCATAGAAAATGCTACGCTATTTTAGTGAATCGTGTATAAGTTTGATCGATTATTACCCGTTACTGTAAATGGGTCACCGTGCGCTAGAATCTATTGGAAGGTGGACCGGTTATGCCATTTCTTGCTCGGGGAGAGACGGTCGCTGGCCGAATAACGTTGAAATACGGTGGTGCATTGGGCCGCGAGAGTACACCTTTGACAACGTCCCGACGATTCTTTGCCTACTCCCTTTGTGCAAGTTTCACCGTGCAAGTTTCTCCGTTCCGCTGTAATCGGCCGCATCGGCCTGCACACGTACACGTGTAAAACGCCTCGCAGGCTAAATACTCAGCCTACATATCAGCCGACGTTTCGCACAACGACGTTTTCCTTTGCAATAATCGAGCAGCATTCTGGAAGTGCACTTTGTAAGGTGAAACGGAGAATCGGGTGGAGAATGGGCAGCACTCGGGGGGAAGTTTTAGTTCCAGTCCTTTTTACAGTCGTACGCCGTTATAACCGGCTCCAGCTCTCAAAGAGCTTCGTTCCTTTCGTGTCTCGCGAGGTAAATAAAAATTGTCAAGAGAGATTGTCCGCGTTGTTCGCGTGGCGTAAAGAAATTTGAAAATTTCGCGTGAAGCTGCAACGGAGGTGCAGCAGTCCACTCGTCGAAGAATCTGAAGCGAGTACGGAGCTGGATACAAAATGGGGAGGGAAACGAAAGAGAAAATTCTCCGGCTCTTCTCTTTAGAGAACCTTGCTCGTCTCTTAGAGACGGGCCAATTAAACGGGCAGAATTAAACGAAAGAAACGACGAATCGTCCCCGTTGTTCCCTTCCCTCCGCCCCTCGCGCCACGCGTTGCTCGTCGAATTTCGCGAAACAAGCCCCCGCGCTTGCTTTTTACTCCTTCGGGTATTCGAGTTCTTGGTAATTTCTTGCTGGCGTCTTCGTTTCGTTCTACCTCTCGCTTCGACGCCGATAACGTGGCGCTGGGGCGATGGCGTGAAGGGGGAAAAGAATTTCGAAGGCTGAATCATAAATCTGTTTGGTGGAATGTATGTATTGCGCGTTTTCGTGGCAGTCGAGCACAGTTGGGCACAGCCCCGGTTGTAAAGGGTTGACGTGAAACCGAGCGATTTTCCTTCCCCTATTCTTTCCCCAGCAAAGGGTAAACGGTCCCGTCGAACGTCGTCGAGGTTGCGATAATTATGTTAAACGACGTGCGCGCAACGCAAAGGCTTCGATACTCACCTTGTAGCCGGCGACGGAGACGACGTACGTGGAGACGATCGACAGCAGCAGGAAGTAAAGGGCTGCGATTTCAAATGTCCGTCTCATCTGGAACAAAGCGTGCACGCGTGTTAATAGAAGCTTCACTCACTCCCTCGCGACGATAAAATCGATCGATCGCAATTACAGTCGCAATCTCTCTCGTCCGAAAATAAGCGTTCGTTCGATATGTTCGATCGCGATATACAGGGTGTCCACAAAGTCTCTTTGCAATTTCAAAAATTTATTACGAAGGCAAATGAAAAGACAGGTAAGTGGGAGTTATTACAAAATGAGACGTAAATATTTAAGTTTTGTTTCATTTCGTTTTAATATACCTCTATACGGGCATCATTAGTTGCACAAAGCACATTTTCCTCGGATGTTCTTGGTCGTCCACTCCTCCCTTTATCGAACACTGTCTCTGTCTCCATAAATTTCTTGTGCCATGCACGAATTGACGGACGGTGGATCTCTTTCATACTTAGTTTTGAAGTCTGTGAAATTCGATTTCAATAAACCACGATACACACTGTGCTTTCTTTTAAGGAGTAGTCATTTTGTAAGGGGTCCATTTAATAATCAACAGAGTACCTGAAATGCGAATGTGATGAAAATCTTGATAACCACTGAGTACATGGAACAAATCTGACAAAGATATCTCATCAATTGCCTTTGCAATAAATTTTTGAAATTGTAAAGAGACTTTATGGGGTTATGTTAAAGATATCGTGTATCGAACAAAGGTACGGGACATCACTGATCCAAAGCAGAGGACCACTGATGCCATTGCCACCATTGATGAAGATAGAGGTAAAAAATCGACTATCGTCTTGATGTGCTTCGTGCAACCAATGGCGCCCGTATAGAAGTGCATTGAATAAGGCAACAGAAATTTAAATATATAAGTCTCATTTTTCAATAATTTCCACTTGTCTGTCTTTTCATTTGCCTTTGTAATAAATTTTTGAAATTGTAAAGAGACTTTATGGACACCCTGTACTTGCAAAGAATTCCTGTGTCCTGAAGATTCAAACTTATTTTTGGGTTTACTTAATGTCCAATGATGTCCATATAGAGGTGTATTAAACGAGGCAAAGAAAAGACATATACGTCTTATTTTGTAACAGCTTTCACTTATCTGTCTCTTCGTTTGCCTTTGTAATAAATTTTTGAAATTGTAAAGAGACTTTATGAACACTTGCAAAGGATTCCTGTGTCCTAAAGATTCAAACTTATTTTTGGGTTTTACTTAATGTCCAATGGTGTCCATATAGAAGAGGTGTATTAAACAAGGAAGAAAAAACTTAAGTATATAAGTCTCATTTTGCAATAATTTCCACTTGTCTGTCTTTTCATTTGCCTTTGTAATAAATTATTGAAATTGTAAAGAGACTTCACGGACATACTATGTATAACGATATACACAGCGACGTAAGAATCGCAACACTGCGTTGCGAAATATTGCGCACGGTGAGGCAAGTCGGTGTTGCATTTTACAATTTACGACGAGTGGCAGCCGGAAAATGAAAGGTTTATTACCTAAAGGTTATCGACCGATCGAACCGTGAAAGGGGCGGCGAGGTGGAGTGGGGTGGGGGGAGGATGATTCACGTTTTGTCGATTTAATTCACTTTATCCGTGCGATAAATCGTCGGATCGTTGTATCGCTAGGCTGTTTATGGAACGCAGCAAGGGCCGAGCCATTCGTTGAATTTATTCAGCGGTCAGAGGTTTGCGGAACAAATGTTTATCCAGACTGCTGGCGGCTGGTTTTCAATTAGCCGGTGAACAAGATCCACTTTGATTAGAATCCCTTACGATTCCCGGGACGGAGAAGCGTGTCCTAGAATTTAAACGCACCAACCTCGACGACCATCCACCAACGAGATCATTCCCCTTCGCCCTTTCACTCCCCATCGCTGAGACTTATGTTGGTCGTTCGCGCGGGCATTTAATCCTTCGTAGCCGCGCTACGATTTTTCCCGCCCACCGTGCCGATCGAACGCGTCGTTTTTATAAATCGACGGGCAACGAGCAGAGGCGATTGCAACCCTGGGAGCGTTTCGGAGTGTCCTTTTACACGTGGGACCTCGAAATATCGGCGGAAAGCGAGCCACGAGTTGGCGAATGGATTGCCGTGGCGCGGGGTATATTCGACAAACCGGCGGAAACACGGTTATGGCAACCGGAGAACTTGCACACACGCGGCACACCCGTGCTCGTTTCTAATCGCCTTATCGCAAAGGCGATTCGCGGCGCGAGCTGCTCGCATCCGTGTGACCTGCTTACCCGTCTGTCTGCCAGGCAAATATCACACGCGCGAAAAATGAAGACGTCAGCCGACAGCGCCCGGCTGTATTAATTAAAAGTGCCGCTGCCTGCTTCTTTTTTCTCCATTTCTTTTTTTCTTCTTTCTTCATTTTCCTCCTTTGAACCCCGAGCCAGCTTCATTCGAAGCAGAAAGCTTCTACGCCCCTACTTCAGGACGAGCACGCGATTTTTCGTCAGGAATGCTCTTTTTTCTTTTTTTTTCTTTTCTTTTCTTTTTTCTTCTTCTTCTTTCGCTCCTCTCCGACCTTTCGATCCGGCCGTCGAAACGTCAGAAATATCGTCGGCCACCGAAATACGCGCGCGTATTCGGGCTGAATTATTATTATTATTATTATTATCATCGAACGTGTAATCACTGGAAGTGCGAACGTGTAAATTTATAAGGGATTTACACGTTCGATTTTAAACGGAGCCGTTTCAACCGCTCGAACGACCCGCATTTTAATTCGTAATCAAGAGCAATGGGAATTTCCCTTTTACCATTGAGATTTCACCTCTGACAAAAAAATGGCCGAATGATTCGAACGTTTCCATCCGTTTTGCCTGACCCGGTCGTTGATTTAACTCGATTATCTTGAAACAATCGTTCCATCGTTCTCCGTTTCTTCCACGCCTACAGCCTATCGTATTTGAAACGTATCCCGGTGAGAACGTGTACTCGTCGGTGAAAGAGGGATTAAAATGTGCCGAAATTAAAATGAAATTTCACTGAAACGAACTCGATCGAAATTTTCGTGTATTTCTCGGACGTATCGCTGAAACGAATCGTCCCCAAGACGAATCGCACCAGTTCTCGAGCTGGTTGCTCGATGGCGAGGAGTTCGAGCCTTTCACCGTCAGATAGCAAATTTTTCTCACGTACGCGCCATACGTATAACGTTTTCAGGTGAAAAATGAATTTCCCTTAACCGGTGATTTCCCAGCGCACCGAGGCAACGCTGTATTTAGCCTGGTTAATCTGCTTAATCGCACGAAGCGCGAGATAAATCCGACGACGGCCATCAAGTTCCGCAGTCTCCAAGAATCGTAAATCGAGCGTCACGACGCTGCCGTTGGGGAGAAGAAGCTTCTCGATCGTTCCTCTCGAGCGTCGCTCCGCGTCGCCATCGGCATACGTTCTCCGCCCTTTTTGAATCCATTCCGAGCTTTTCAATTCCAACAGACAAATAGCGTTGATAAAGGCGGAAGTGCGCGTCGTTATTGGCGGAAAAGGGGTGGCAGTATATTCGAGAAACGTTTATACGGGCAGAAAAAAAAAGCCGATCGCCTCGCTGTAAATCCTCCTCGGCGAGATTCTTATTACGTACGTACATTTCTTTCGCCGGGTGAAAGAAAGGGAGAGAGAGAGAGAGAGAGAGAGAGAAAGACCAGAAGCCATTCCAACGAATAAGAACCGATCCGATCGATTCCGGCGGGCTTCGGAGGAGTCGGACGCGCGCGCGTCGCGTCGCGCCGCGCCGCGCGTACCCGCGGACCCTTTTCCACGTCGGGGCGATTTTCAAAGTTACGCGCCAGAACGACGAGGGTCGGGTCGTTCCCCGTGTTCGGTGGTCTTATCTTTAAAGCCGCGGCGAATCCCCGTGCTCCGGGTCGCTTCGAGTAAAGCCCTTTTCGGTCCGTTTAGCATTCTGATTTCCGTCGAGTTTTACGAACCACCCTACGAGCTCCGCTCCGTTTTACTCTACGAGCGGAGAGCGAGCGGGCAGATTGAAACGCGATTGAAAAAGTTGCTCGCGGTCGATCTCACCGATCTTTCGCCCCCGTGTTTCTTTCTTTTTTCTCTCCTTTCTTTTCTTCCGTTGCCTAATGAAATTACCCGATCGTGGCTGATTCGACTCCGTCGCGGGCCAGAATTAGAAGGATGTATTGAACGTGCCAATATTGGCTGTTGGCGCGGTACGGAATGGAAGTAGCGAGAGCAGCAACGATACCGATTGACGCAGAGTTCCCCAGGGTAGCATACCGCATTCTACTTTCCTCGATAGGGAGCGAACCGCTAGGAGCTAAGGTGTGCTTCGCGTAGCCCTAAATAAGGTTTTGAAATACCGTCTCGCCAGGGACCGGCAGGTTGATACGCACCATGGTCTTTATACCGAGTCAACGTCGCGTAAATTCCTTTTAAATTTATCTCTAACTCTATCGATCGCATTTGTTAATCGTTCCCTCAACGCATTTGTCGTGGCCACTGTCACGTGACTTCTTTTCACCAGCGATCATCGGCCGGCGCCGATGATCGAAAATGTGGCTGTGTACCGAGACGTGAAAAAATGATTTCAAGCCACGAATTCCATCTTCATATTCTAATATATCGCTCACAAAAATTATCGGATATTTTAGGGAATGTGAAAACGACGTAATGTTTTCTGATGTTATTCGATAAAGAAAGATCAAATGCTTCTTTTTTTCTATCGCTTCACGTTCATTTCGAAATATTGTAGTATCGGTTATTACAATTAATCTCTAGTTATAATTTTTCGTTACGCTCAAATATAACACATGGCCTGTTTGTTGATCATAGAAATATGATAAAATATGAATGAATATGTGATGCGAGAAGTCGGCTCCAACGTAGGCATGGAGCTTTTTTTTAAAAAAAGACTAGAGTCGTGAGAGAACGTTGAAAGAGAACTGTGTTAAAGGGTGTCAATTATGTCGTTAAAGAAATTTATTTGAGTTGTTAATTCACGTTGTTTTAAAGTAATTTGTCTTGTTTTATTATCTGTTGTTCTACTATC